AATTTTATATATAGAAAAGTGATAGGTGAAAAATCGATTAAAATTTTCTATTCCAACTTTTTTAACGTTTATTAATTTTATTTACGATTTTAAATTATTCGTGATATTTGATTTGATTTAATGTTCGTTTCTAATGTATAATTATTCACGAATAAGAAATTATTTGATTATGTGTGTCTGTGTTAAAATGTAGAATAAATCTTTGTAGGTTGAAAATCATGCGATATATTGAATAGAATAGTTAGGCTAGTAGTTACGTTAGCTAGTGTATTAGAAACTATGCTTGATTATAGAATAGAGGTAAATTCTAGGAGCGAGTAGTATAGTACCTCAAACATCTCGAGGTTTAAGGAGAGACTCTATCCTCTCGCAGATTAGCTATTATAACAACCGGCGCTATTGAAACCGTTCGAGGAAATTTAATCGGGAGAAGTTATATCGATAAGTATGAAAGGGGTTGGATAGGTAGGGTGACATTGTTTTACAATATGGAAATTAATTCTTTGGAATAATTTCTAAGGATTATGTGTAATATTAAATAAATCATTCCAAATATATATATATACATATACACATAACGTGCGTTAATAAAATATTTCATTTCTGATCAAATAAAAATATAACGGTAATAATAATAATAATTAGTTTATATTTTATAATGGATTTATTTGATCATATATAAATAATTTTAAATATATTATTAATCATAGAATATTAATTTTTTTTTTTTTAAATTGTGTTTTACTTAAATCCGGTTGTCTTAATTATTTTTCGTTTAATATAATATAATTCAAAATGAAAGAGAAAAATTGTATTATTTGTAATAAATAAATTTATATATATATATATATATACACGTTTGAACGATTTGTAGACTAAATTCGAATAATCTTTTTCTAGAGTACCGTTTATTTTCGCTTCCTTGACTTCATTGCTCGTTGAAACTCAACGAGAGATAGAAAGAGAGAAAGAGAGAAAGAGAGAGAAAGGGATGTTTCGAGAAACGTTTGAAACCTCATTGTATCGTTGCTTTATCGTTTAGGTCAAAAACAGAAGGAACTTGAATTCGATATAAAAGAAAAGGAGAAATAAAATAAAAGGGATTGGGGTACTTTAAGTTAACTTTCAAGAAGAAGAATAGAAAAATAGGCTTATGGGGGGAGGAAGAAAAAAGAAGAGAATGATTAAAGATTAACTAAATTATATTTTTATTATTTTTTTCTTTCATTTGATTTTTTTAACTTTTTACTTTGAATACTTTGAAATACGTTTACTTTGATAAACTCTTAATCATTTATTTTAGTAGTAATTAACTTTCGTTGAATGTTCTCACAAACACACTGACTTCACTGACTAGTAGAATCCATTACTCGTCGAAAGGTTAAATACCTGTTAATACTAAAAGTACAGACAGTGAGAGAAAGAGAGAGAGAGAGAAAGAGAGAGAGAGAGAGAGAGAGAGATAGCAGAGATTCGAGTACTCTTCGTTGAAGTTTCTACGATCGAGGTAGAAACCTAGAAGCAACTATCATTTCGAGAAAAGCACCATAGAACTACTCCTTGGATTTACGAGTTTCTATATATATACACACACACACACTTTGATACATAAATAAATTTATAAATATTTTACATTATATAATACACACGTATATATAATTATAATTATAATTTAATTGTGAGTTGAGATCTAGAAACAAAAAAAAGACAACAATTTTTCAAACAACACAATTCAAAATCGTTCTGCAAACTTATCGCAAATTGTCGAATTGTGTATAAATATAAAATATATTATTTTTTTTTTAAATCTCTACTGATACACAAAAACAAAATTTTGAAATAATTTCTAATTAAAATTCGTTGATAAAAAAAGTATCGCGTGTAAAATAAATATTATTTATTTTCGAATGAAAGAAAAAATACCATAGGAATAAAATATATATATATATATATACGTTAAATATAAATGTGTATGTGTGTTTTAACAAAATTTCTAAGCTAGGAGAGGATTCACCTCCTTTGAAGGAGGTAGAATAACCGAGTTAATGAGTGCAAGAGGAGGAGGTTAAGAAGTGGAAGGAGAGAGTATGAGAGTGATAGACAGAGAGAAAGAGAGAGATAGAAAGTGGAAGAGAGAGAGAGAAAGAGAGAGGATTTCTCTTCAGTAGTATACTTATCAGATCGGAGCACGCGCCTATTGATTTTGGCTTAAACCGAGAATCCGATGGTAGATAGAAGTTAGAGTTGAGATGTGGACTACCCTATTTCTATATATTCCTCTCTTTCAATCCCTCTCTCTCTCTCTCTTTCTCTTTGTTTTTTTTTTCTTTCTCTCTGTTAGAAACTGTGAGTGATTTTAGTACGTGTATCTATCGATGCTATATCAACTATGCATTATATATATTAAATATATTAATTTATTTTGTAATAATATTATAATACGTTGTTTCTATTATCATAGAATTTTGTATTTCATTTTATAAAGTTTATTTAGAAAAATAATTTGATAAAATAATAATATTGGTTGCCTGTGTAAAATGATATAATTGATTAATGATTTTTTTTTACATTATTTTTCAATCTTCTTCTTATTTATTATTATTATTTTTATCACACACACACATACACACAATTTAAATTAGAAGTTTAATAATTGAAGATTAAGAATTCAATGAAATAATATATATGTAGATTTTGTATAGATAATATTTATCAAGTAACGAAAAAATATTTTCAAAATTATTGGGACAATAAGTTTATCGAATTTCTTAGATATATTTTTATTTAAGATTCGTGCCAAAAACAATTTCAATTCTTTGAGAGATAGCAGTATCGTTGTTTCATCGAAGAAGAAGAAGAAGAAGAAGAAGAAGAAGAAGAATAAAAAGAAGAATAAGAAGATTCAAAAGGGGTTGGAGAAGGTAGGTTTGTGAAATAGGAGGAAAAAAGAAAGGAACGAAGGAGGGTTTCGAAAGATCCACTCCACAAATGGAGAAAAATAAAAGAAAATCATG